GGGGAAATGGAGGGAGAGGGAGAAGCAGACTCCCTGCTGAGCAGGGAGCCCGATGTGGGACTCGATCCCAGGACCCTGGGATCATGACCTGAGCCAAAGGCAGATGCTTCATCCAACTGAGCCACCCAGGTGCCCATAAACTCCATTCTTAACAATAAGTGCCAGGGTTCCTTCTAGAAGTGGTTGAATCCAGGGCTGGCGTAGGGAAAATACAAGATGGACCAGGAATAAAGCTTACCAGAAAGTAAGGAAGTACCCCCCAAAAAGATGGAGGTCCATCAAAAGATGTTAGCACCACCTAAAGGAGCCTCCTAATGGCCAAAGCTGGAACAGTTTGTACAACAAAATAATGATAGAACTGGATTTTAACCCATGGAATACAATTCATATCCATGAGCCCTCATAGATATAAATAGCTGGTTAGATTAGTAAATGGAGAAGGTTCAGCTCTTCCATGTAGAAGAATGCCAATTAAAAAGCGTGTGTCTAGGAAGGCAAGGACAGTACCAAACATAGAGGGTGCCCGGTCCTGTCCCTGCTGCTGAGGGGCCGTGGATGGTTCCAGGGCTCATGGTGGCCTTTTCCTACTTCCTTCTGGCTGCCTCTTTGTGCATTTGTGAATGTTAACACCTTATGGTCATGAAGTTGATGTTTACTTAGTATAATAGAAGTGTTACTTTTAATGCTGCATGCTTTTTCTCTGTTGTCGTCTTTAATAGCAATGCATTGTTTCAAAAAGTTGATTGACATTTTTGCTTTTTAAAAAACTTTTGTTGGGGTAACTAGGAAGAACTTGCCTTTGTATTTGAGATGCTGCAACAATTTGAAGATGCCCTGGTACAATATGACGAACTGGATGCCCTGTTTTCTCAGTATGTTGTCAACTTTGGTGCTGGGGGTGAGTAGTGCACTTTTAGAAGCAAATTCTTTTCTTAGTATAGTTTTCCCCACTCTTAAATAGTCTAGAAGCTGCCATTATTTATTTGCTTAATGATTAAATCACCTTTTATTGTTTTGTGCAAATTATATAGGATATATTCTTATAGTTCTAATAGGAAATGATATGAGAATTAAGAACTAGTCGCTTTCACTGTTAGAAGCATCCTAAGCAAGAAAAGCATTTATGAAGAGGGTGTTTTTCAGGTATAAAGAGTCTTTTCTCCTACTTAGAGCTGGCTGGTTATGCTTCTGATTCTGTGCCTCCTTGCTAGCGTAAGAGTGGGATCTTGTACTTCTGTTGACAATCTGTCTTTGTAATGTTTGAGTGCTCATTGCAGAGTTTTAAATGGCACCACTGTAATGGGTGTTCATCTTTCTTTTAAAATTTTAAAGTCTTGAATTATTTTAGAAGTACAAAATTAGCACAGTGAAACCATATACAGAGAAAAAAGTTCATAATTGTTCTCACTGTGTTTTGGGTGATACCTATATTGATAGAAATGGCATCATCCTATGTAGACATTTGTCTGTAGCTTGTTCTTGTTAACAGCCCATCGTGGGCATTGTTCCAAGCTAACAGGTCAGGTTTTAAGGTATGTTCGTTAATAGCTGCATCGTGCTCCACAGTGTGGACCCATGAGGGTTAATCCAGCTGCCCCTGGTCTTGGACATTTGGGTTGTCTCCGTTCTGACCACCACACACAGTGCGGTAACAGACATCTTTGTTGGGTGTTCTTTTTAAGAGAACCCTGATATGGTGTCTGAAGAAAGGAGTGATTTCAAGGAACCCTAGTGTCTGTTAGAAAACCTGTAGGAAGATGAGGTGCTGGGACAGTCAGCTTGGGCACTGTCTTTGTTCTAGAAATGATGATGAATGGCACCAGTTGGTTTTTTCTCCAAACCAAGTTTTAGGAAGTTCAGATTTGGATCTCTTACTTTGCTAAGACACAAATGTAAACATAACCAGAGCAAAGTATTTACCAATTAAACTTTAAAAATTTGAGAAGAGATAAAATTATATTTCACATCTCCATATTGTACGTATTTAGGTATCTTACATGTTTCTTATGTCGTATTTCGCATAATTTCTTTGTTCTCTCAGTTTTAAAATCTGGGACAAATTAGAGTCCAAAAGTAAGCTTGAACCACGTTTTGCAGCTCAATGATAAGATTGTTCATTTTTGTTTGTTCATTTAATGGATGCTTATTGAGAGTCCCATATGACCAGGCGCTGTTCTGGATATAGTAGGTAACCAACAAAACCCCTTCCTTCATGGAGTTTACATGAAGGGGAAACAGGTGTAGAAGTAAAAAAAACTTCAAGTCAGGTAGTTGTAATGAGTGCAGGCCGCAGGAGGGGTTGCAGGTGAAGGGGCAGAGTGTGACGGTAGGTGCTGGGTGATCTTAGTGTGGGCTGGGAGGCTCTCTGAGGAGGTGGCATTGACACAGAGGCCTGAATGACATGTGAGAGGGAGCCAGGAGAACGCTGGGCAGAGGGCCAACAGAGGGGTCTGCTGGTGTAGGCACTCTGGGGCTTCAGCAGCTCTGAGTATAAGTTCCAGTCAGTAAAGGCTGCTGTTAGTTGTGGTTGGCACTTGAGATATTTAGTAACATCAGTGTGCCAATATTGAGTCACTTCCTGGTGGGAATGCAGCATGACCTGGTACGACAGCTCTCTTTTGGAGTGAGGAAAATAGATTATATTTTGCCATATGGGTTGAATGACTAGTTATCGTGGGCTGTTATGCTTACTTTAAGGCCATATTTGAGTTTGGGGCTATAAGTTAGAATTGGGGAGCCTCGCTGGAAATTTTTGACAAGCAAGAATGTTTCCCTTCTGCTTCCCGCTGCTGCTTCTTCCTTGTGCCTACTGTCCTTTTCTCCAGGAGATGATTCGGGTAGCTGACGTGGTTGAGTTAGAGACAGGTGTGAGGCTTCGGTAAGGGAGACAGAAAGACCAGCACGGTCTCGTGAATGGGCTGCTCTCTGGCACAGTACGTTCCAACCCAGGCCCGGTGCCTTCTCTCAGAGCTGACTGAGCACAGAGCCTGAGGCCTCCCTGACCCCTTAGCCTGGCAGTCTCCAGTTGCCTCCCGACCTGTTCACCACCCTCTGGACATGGTGCACCCGTGTGCCTTGTGGCCTAGGTCATGTTGCCTTGTGCTCATCATCGGTTGCCATGTACCGAGTGGGAATACTCGTGGGAGCTACCCTGTCCCCACATCACTAGCCTGGTTCCATGCCCATGGAAAGGGGGCGGGCCCGTGGTCAGGGAGTAACTGGTTGTTGAGCTGCCTGTTGGTACGTGAGGTCTCACGGCCTTGAGCAAGAATCTCAGGAAGGTGAAGTAATCTGTAGTCAGCGCCTTTCATGATGTGTGTTTGTTTAGATGGTGCCAACTGGCTGACTTTTTTCTGCCAGCCGGTGAAGAGCTGGAATGGATTGATCCTCCGAAAGCCCATAGATATGGAGAAGCGTGAACTGATACAGAGGCAAGAAGCCACCCTGTTAGATCTGCGCAGTTACCTGTTCTCTCGGCAGTGCACCTTGCTCCTCTTCCTGCAGAGGCCGTGGGAGGTGGCTCAGCGCGCCCTAGAGCTGCTGCACAGCTGTGTGCAGGAGCTGAAGCTCTTAGAAGTGAGTCTATTTTCCCAATTTACTCGTTTCTTCGTTGTTCAAACCCAAAACCCTGAATCGCGAATCGCAGGCATTGAACTGTCTATGCTGTAGGAAAGAATTCTCTCTTCCTGAATGTCCTGCATTTGTAGCCTGTTATTTGTGTACTTACTCTTTACACCGATTGGGTAATTGTTCAGAAGTGTCATTTCTGCTCTCAGCGTGGGGGAGTTCATGTCGGCCCAGAGCAAGACTCTTGGATCGGTTTCTTCCCGTGAGGTTTTGAGAGCACTTCGGCTTTATCCCCCGAGGAAGACGGCTCCCTGCCGCACACACGGCGTGAGGCCTTGTGGGCGGGCCTTCACTTGATTTCCGAGCCGCCTTTCTGTTTTGCACGTGAACACACGGTAGCAGTGTGACGAACCGGAATTAGTAGCATGAAGTGTCGGGAGGGTGCGTGACGGGTGCGCGTGTGCACGTGTGTGCGAGTGAAACCCGTGAGAGAGGCGTGTACGGTGCGTCGGTCGCGGAGTGTTGGCCTTTAAGGATCGAGTCCCCGGGCTCCTGCGCTCCTGCTGCTCACAGAATCAGGCACGTTTTAGTGAAGTAAGGGAGCGTTCATGACTGTCTAGTCTGGGCGGGGGTGGGGGGTCTCCCCTTTTTTGTTTCAGTGACCTCTCTGCCCAGAAAGGGGCATCTGCGCACATACACAGGGTTACACATCATCTCGGGGGGCTCACAGACACCCCCACCCCACCCCGCCCCATTCCCCGATTAGGAATGAGGTGAACGCTTTAACTCCATTTCACAAAGGAAGAAGGCAGGCCTGGAAGTGGGGAGGTGGCTGACCCAGCAACATACCGCAAGGGTTGTCCAGGGTCAGGCCGCATGCCGGGCTCGTGCGCTCTGTCCTGCCGCTGCCGGCATGTCCCAGGGGCACAGTTGAACAGGGTCCTTGAGTGTAATCGTATTGCACTAGCCAAACCCTGGTGAAGCTGGGCTTTCATAATGAGTAACTTTCATCCTCTGTATCCTAGAGTGCTAAAGAACAGGCTCAACACTTAGTTTGAAATAATCAAGTGATAGAAACTTTTTTTTTTACCCAAATGAAGAGAAATTATGTTAATTTTTTTTATTATTTTTTTTTTAAAGATTTTATTTATTTGACAGAGAGAGATACAGCGAGAGAGGGAACACAAGCAGGGGG